GTGCTGGTCGGGGATGAACTGAGTGCCGTGCTGGTTTCCGTCGTGGTCGAGGTGCTGGTCGCCGCAGTGGACGCCGTACTTGTCGTCGTACTGGTGACCGCACCGTCTGGGGACTTCGATCACGACGTACTTGACCTCTGTGAGCTTGGCGGCGGCGTTGATCGCTGGTGCTGGTTCCAATTTTGACGCTGTGCCATTGTCACGATGATTCAGGTCCCAATGTTCTTGATGGTGGCACAGCCAGGCCTCGATGGCGTCGCGGCGCCGCCTGCGAGCGAGGCGGCGGGCTGCCGTGGGACCGAGGGATCTGATTTCTGCCTGGCGCTGCCAGGCGGGCCGCCACGCCTCCTTCGGGCAGCCCTCCGCAGGAATAAACATCCATGGCATCAGTGCGGCCGCGACGCCGCAGGCGCTGCGGCGCGCGAGGCTTGAGCCAAAATGGCTTGAGCCAAAATGGCTTGAGCCAAAATGGCTTGAGCCAAAATGGCTACGGTTCCCTCCTCCTCCTCCTCCTCCTCCTCCTCCTCCTCCTGCACCTCCTCCTTCTCCTCCTCCTGATCCCCTCCTCATCCCCATCACCGCCCATCATCATCATCATCATCATCATCATCATCATCATCATCATCATCATCATCATCATCATCAGCAGCAGCAGCAGCAGCAGCATCAGCATCAGCATCAGCATCATCCTCATCATCACCATCGATCATCATCAGCATCATCAGCACCATCAGCATCATCATCACCGTCATCAGCATCACCATCATCAGCATCATCATCAGCATCAGCATCATCATGATCATCATCAGCAGATCATCGTCATCATCAGCAGCATCATCAGCATCGTCATCATCATCAGAAGCATCGTCTTCAGTATCATGACCATCATCACCATCACAATCATCACTGTCATCATCATCATCATCATCATCATCATCATCATCATCATCATCATCATCAGTATCATCAACATCATCATCATCATCATCATCATCATCATCATCATCATCATCATCACCAGCATCATGATACGTGCCTTATATTCATCGTCGTCCTCGACGTTGTCATCGTCATCGTCGTCATCAGCATCATCAGCATCAGCAACACTACCACCACCACTAACACACCCACCACCACCATCATCACTAACATCATGATCGGCATCATCGGCATCAGCATCATCATCTTCAACATCATCATCAGCAGCATCATGATCGTTATCGTCACAACCATTACCATCATCGTCGTGACCCGCACCATCACCATCACCATCACCATCACCATCACCATCATCATCGTCATCATTACGAATCGCCATCATCATCCGCTGCATCAGCAACAGCATCATCGTCATCCTCGTCCTCCTTGTCGTCATCGTTGTCGTGGTCGTCGTCGTCGTTGTCGACGTCATCAATGTCGTCGTCGTCCTTGTCATTCTCGTCGTCTTCGTCCTCGTCGTCGTCGTGGTCGTCGTCGTGGTCGTCAACGTCATCGTCATCATCAGCATCGTCATCAGCATTACCATTATTAGTACGAGTATCATCAACATTATCATGGTCGTGATCAGCAGTGTCATCGTCATCATTATCGACATCGTCACCATCGTCATCATCAGGGTCGTAGCATCATGTTCACCATCATCATCGTCATCATCATAATCGTCACCGTCATCATCATCGTAATCGTCATAGTCATTATGATCATCATCATCGCCATCATCCTCGTCGTCGTCATCATCATCATCATCACCACCACCACTGTCACCGTCGTCACCGTCGGTCGTCGTCCCTCTCCGGTGCCTACTCCTTCCTACCCGTCCACCTCCCTGGAAAGAAAGAAAACAGTGACAATGACCAAAACTGCACACGGAAACGTTGGTGCCGATCTTGATCACCGTCCATCTTGATCACCGTCAATCCGTAGACCATCCTCGCGAATCGGCGGCAGCCAGCAAGGACCATGGCTGCGATCGGCGTGGAAGAGACCTGCGATATATTGGTCGTCGTGACCGTGTGTTTCTTCCCTCGATTCCTGGAGTGCGCCGCGTGAGCCTCCCAGAGGCCACAAATGCCGACATCTGCTGCGCAAACGTATGTTGGCCCCAGACTGCACGCTGGGCCGGGTGCCCAAGTCCCACCCGAGACCCCGAGGCATCCATTAAGTCAGGCCTGCCCAACTACAGGAGGAATATTCAAAAACAGTCAAAAAATTGACGACTGCTCTACTATTTCTAACTATGTTTGACTATTTTCTGATTTGTTGTACGCTTCTATTCGTCCAAAATCCGCCTGTCGGGGGACACGCCCGACCCAACTTCTCGAGACCCTCAGGCGCCCCCTGGATACACCAAAGGCCGGAAAGCTTTCCTGGTGGCCCCCTGGAAGCCCCTGGAACACGGCGGGGGGATCGGCCGCAGGCCACTGATTGACTTGCTGTGCGCCCGTACGTTCCGATTGGTGGGAACCGTGAGCCAGGTGTGGGGGCTGTACAGGTGCACTGAAAGCGGACCTTGAGCGCACGATGGAGACATCCACTCACACGCGACTCTTCCCTGACTGCTCTCGCCTTCCGTCTTTTTTCACGCCACGCGACAATTAGATGGCTCCACAACTCGTGTGGCGCCACAGCGTGAAACAGCAGGGCGTTAGGACAGCCCACACCGCTGCGCGAGCCAGGCTCCCACAGGCGAACTCGTGCATTGATCCGTGGCCTGCAGGACTGATCACCGAGCACTGAGTACTCCAGCACATGTGAGCCATCTAGGGCGCTGCGGGTGAGACAGGGCGAGGTGAGGAACGAGCTGCTCTCGCCTCTGACTGAGACCCAGGGCCGGGGGGACAGGGTGCGTAACGGACTACCCTCGCCTCTGACTGAGACCAGGGCCAGGTACTGGGAACTAACGGTGCCACCAGCTGGGCCTCTGCTGGAGCAATCCGCGGCCGCCATCACCTTCCCGAATGGCCTTCTGATGTCCGAGTTGCGACCCAGGAGAGCGTCTGGTGAGGTGGGGCGGAGCAGCAGCAGGAGGAGGAAGGGAGGATCGGAATGGGGGAAAGATGAGGGGAAAGGGGGACGGGGAGAGGAGGGAGGAGCAGGAGGGAGGAGGAGGAGCAGGAGCCAGGAGCTGGGAGGAGGAAGAGGAAGGGAGGAGGAGGAAGGAGGAGGAGGAGGAGGAGGAGGAGCAGGAGGAAGGATGAGGGAAAGGAAGACGAAGAGGGGATGGGGATATACGTGGAAGATGTGAGAACCGCAGGGCACAAGATGCGACAGGATCACGTCGCGATGACCTGCGCGCTGGCCTCTGGCAGCACGAAAGGGGCCTAAGGACACACAAATAAATACACACAAATCCCAGGATTCCCCCTATTTTCCAATATTCATATGTTCTAGGTTTTCGTCTTCCGCCCCCACTTCCCAAATGCTCCCATATTTTCTTGGGAATCGACGATTCATTGTGTCTGTGTGTTTTTCCCGCTCCCGAAACACGTGGATCGTACAATCGTGAAGAGTCGCCGATTCCCGAAAGTCGGGATCGCTCAAGACGGGCCGAGCCCAGGCCGCTGGCGGCCTCCGAACCCGAGTGCCCGCGCTGGCGCTGCCGCCGCGTCGACGCGACGCGGACCTGCAACAACCTGCGAGAGCTGCGGAGAAGACGGCCTGCGAGGCGGGGATTTATACATACTCGTTCATACATATTCCTACCTAGGCTATGCCTAGAAGGGTTCTTACTCGCTTGGCTTAAAGGGGCCGGGCAGTGCAAACCGCCCCGGGCGGTTCCCCCAGTCCCCTGGGAGCCAAGCAAAAGCAACAGCAAAGGTAAAAGCAAACGCGCGGTTCCCCCAGTTGCGCTCCCTGGGTGCCAAGCAAAAGCAACAGCAAAGGCAAACAGTGAAGGCAAAAGCGAAGGCAAAGCAAAAGCATAGCATAGCATAGCATAGCATAGCATAGCATATCATAGCATAGCGCAGCATAGCATACCGCAGCATAGCATAGCACAGCATAGCCTAGCCTAGCCTAGACCAGCATAGCATTGCGCAGCATAGCATAGCATAGCATAGCATGGCCTAGCCTAGCCTAGCCTAGCCCAGCATAGCATAGCATAGCGTAGCATAGCGCAGCACAGCATCCACTATTGGTTCTGGCGCTACTACTACTACTACTACTACTACTACTACTACTACTACTACTACTACTACTACTACTACTATACTACTACTACTACTACTACTACTACTACTACTACTACTACTACTACTACTACGACTACTACTACTACTACTACTACTACTACTACTACTACTACTACTACTACTACTACTACTACTACTACTACTACTACTACTACTACTACTACTACTACTACTACTACTACTACTACTACTACTACTACTACTACTACTACCTACTACAACTACGACTACGACTACTACTACTACTACTACTACTACTACTACTACTACTACTACTACTACTACTACTACTACTACTAACTACTACTACTACTACTACTACTACTACTACTACTACTACTACTACTACTACTACTACGACTACTACTACTACTACTACTACTACTACTACTACTACTACTACTACTACTTACTACTACTACTACTACTACTACTACTACTACTACTACTACTACTACTACTACTACTACTACTACTACTACTACTACTACGACTACGACTACTACTACTACTACTACTACTACTACTACTACTACTACTACTACTACTACTACTACTACTACTACTACTACTACTACTACTACTACTACTACGACTACTACTACTACTACTACTACGACTACTACTACTACTACTACTACTACTACTACGACTACTACGACTACTACTACTACTACTACTACTACTACTACTACTACTACTACTACTACTATCGCTACTGCTACAACTACGACGATGAGGAGAAGGAGGAGGACGGCGTTTACCGCTCCTACGAATGTTGCTTTCCTAGAGGCTCCAACTCCTAGGTAGGGTCGCACTGGGATAATCCACCGCATGGGAACCGACGTCGTGGTGCCCCAGCGGGCGGTGGACATGGATATAGTCCAAAGTTGATCCTCCAAGCGGTGGTAATGTATAAATTCCCGCGTCGGACGGCCGCCCCTTTGGTGGGACAGGGAGGAGCATCACACTTTTTAGGTCGGGAGCCACGTGCGCAGCAGCGTGGCGGTCACAGTGAGCGCGGAACAGAGGCACAGAGAACCGGGGGAAGGACGGACCAGGAAAGCGGCGGCCAGGGCGGCGAGAGCAGCCCACAGAGACGCAGCAACGGGCGAGAGGGAAAGCGGAGGCAGGGCACGGATGGGAAAAGGGCGCAGAGGGGCAGGGCAAAGGGGAAAGGAACAGGGCACCAGGGCCGCAGAGACGAGGCGACGGGAAATGGCATCGCACACCAAGGGCCGCGCTCTCCGCCGCAGGCAACCCCCGGCTCACTGGCCGCTGAGCCCCGGACCTCCCGAGCCTGGGCGGGGCACCGCTGCAGCACCGACCAGCGGGGCAGCGGCGTCCACTGCCGCGTGCCCGCGCTTGCCCATCTCAGCCAGCACCTCGTTGTAGAGGCTCTCGACTCTGTGGAGCCTGTTGTTGGCCACGGTGACCTCCCGCTGCCAGGCGATCCTCCCGCTGTTGGGCGGCTGCTGGCCCCGCACCCTTTCGCGCTCCCACCGGGACCTGCGCAGGTCCTCCGCCAGCTCCCGCTCCCGCTCCTCCAGCTGCCCGTCCGTCAGGTCCGCGGGGCGGCCCTTCCCCTTCGCCCGCTTGCCGCCGGCCCCCTGCTCGGCCTCCGGCCCCTGCTCGGGCGCGCCCTTCCGCTTCTTGCCCATGCGGGGCCGCAGCCCGGGGCAGCGAGCGGCGGCGGACAACGAGGGGAGCGCGCCGCGGGCGCCCGTCCGAGCCCGGAGCCAAAACAGCTAAGGACTGCGCGGCGGCCTTGGTCGACGATCGACGACGCCGGCCCCAGAACTTTGACGTCGTGATTCTTTGGGCGGTGCCAGAAGCGGTCATGGCCAAGGTGCTCCCAGCTCTTCGCGCCCCCTGGGGGGTGCGCTCCCGCAGCCCTCTGCGCCTCCCTGGGAGAGCTGGGGCCACCTCGGGCCAGGGCCACGTCTGGCATCGCCCGACTCTTTCACCGCGTGCACCCCCAGAGGTATGGTTAGGTTGGGCACGTCCTCCTACAGGCGGATTTTGGACGACAAATTCTAAATTGCCAAATGCGCCAAACATTGCCCAAAACTGCTCGAACAATCGTCCCCGGACCATGTTGAAACTATGCCTGGATATTCCTGCTGTAGAGGGACAGACCCGACTTGAAGAGATGGACCCCTTCTCTGCGACCCGCTTCTCATGGGCCCAACTCGGCCTCCAAGGGCCTTGCGTCCTTACCACCCGTCCCTGATACACGTTTTGACTGTAGGGGTCCGACAGCCCACCTCGACCAGTACCGTGCGGTTTCGCTGCCGCGGGCCTGCCGCCGAGCAATCGGCGGCGTATCGCCGATTCCGGGGCACCGCCAGGGCACCACCGGGGACGCCGTGACACCCCGAGCCGTTCTGTTCATAGCCCCACGGGATCTGGTGAGGCCCCCCCCTGGAGGCCGAAAAAACTATCACAAGAACCGTCCGTCGTGGTGCTCGCTCACGGCGAGGGGAGGTGGCGGAACCATCGACCATCGACGACCATCGACGACGACGACGACGACGACGACGACGACGACGACGACGACGACGACGATGACGACCATCGACGACCATCGACGACCATCGGCGACGACGACCATCGGCGACGACGACGACGACCGCGACGACGACCATCGACCTTCGACCATCGACCATCGACCATCGACCACGATCGACCACGGCCACGACGATCGACCATCGGCAACGACCCATCCAGTCTCAGAGGATATCCTTCCTCGACGGGACTCCCTCCGGGAAAGCGGCCTCTCTCTCTCTCTCGCTCGCGGCACCGGCTGAAGCGTGAGTCGTCGCCGTCCGCCATCGTCGACGACGCCTTCGTCATCGATCGTCGACCGTCGAGCGTCGTCGTCGATCGTTGTCGTTGTCGATCGCGGTCGCCAACGTCGTCGTTGTCGATCGCGGTCGCCGTCGTCATCGTCGTCGTCGTCGTCGCCATCGTCGTCGTCCTCCTCCTCCTCCTCCTCCTTCTCCTCGTCGTCATCGCTGATAGTCGATGGTCGATGGTCGTTGGTCGTCGTCGTCATCGTCATCGTGGTCGTCGCCGCCATCGTGGTCGTCGTAGTCGCCGTCGTCGATCGTAGATCGTCGCCAGCTGTAGCGAAGTCGGTCGTCGTCGTTTAAGACCGCCTCGTCAACACCGAATGCCAGTAAAGGAAGCTCGGCTCTGGACCTGCCCGTCCAGGTCACCCCGATCCCGATCCTGTACCGTTTGCCAAGGGCGAAACAAACTAGACAAACTGTATAAGTATAAACCTTCGGAGGTCCGCGCGGTTCCCTTGGATCTGCGCTGGGCCCCCTTCCGTGGCGCGTGGAGCGCGACAGGGGACCGCGAAAGGCGCCGCAAGGGGGCTCCAGCGCCAATCCCACGAGTCTGCGCGGGACTCCGAAATCCTAAATGGTCACGTTTTCTCTTCGGGCGAGGCCAGCTTTCGCCTTCCCCCGACAGAGCCCCCCTGGGCGAAGCGGGCTCGGCGCGCTGGCATCTGGCGGATGGCCGCGCAAGATCGATACCGGAAGGCCTTCCAGAGCCTACCTCCTCCTCCTCCTCCTCCTCCTCCTCCGCCTCCTCCGCCTCCTCCGCCTCCTCGTCGGCACAGGCCGCCCGCGACCAGAAGCTGCGCCAGCGGCAGGACAGAGCCGGATGCCGGATCGTCGGGCTCCACGGGCGGGCGCCAGCGGTGCACGCGCGCACCGAGATCCTGGCTGGGCTCGCCCTGGCCCCAGGAGCTGTGTGCGGCGGGCTCGTGTCGTGACGGCCCGGGCGCTGGTTCCTGGCTCCGCGTGGATGGTTCAAGCTCGAACGATCGTTCGCAGGCGCCGATGCTGGGCCGCCAGCGGCATTCAACCTGGGGCACCCGCGCCGGGTCGCCGACGCGTCGACACGGCATGAACCTACCGTGTGTACGTCCTCCAGGCGCAGCCGGGAAGGCAGAAGCGCCGATCCCAGGGCCAGGAATGGCGCGGCCAGGATCGAGGTAGGCGTACACAGTGGAAGCCAGGCAAAGAGAAACCTTCCACAAGAAACCCACAACTCTGAGACCCCAGGACATCCATGGATTTAAGGCGTGGGAGCGTCACCCTCTCTTTCGCAGAACCATCGAAACCCAAGAAACCCAGGACACCCTCGAGGCAAGCAGGGCGTTTCTTGGCATGGGCCTCCACTGTCCAGTCCTCGAGCTGCCGAAAAGAACGCCAGGTGAAGGAGGACGGGGCTGCCCTGGCCCAGGCGAGCCTCGGCCACGAGTGGGCAAACCCGACCAGGAGCTGAGATGGACGGCCCAGAAGCCAGAGCCCCCTCCTCTTCCTCCTCCTCCTCCTCCTCCTCCTCCTCCTCCTGCTCCTGCTGCCCTCCTCCTCCTCCTCCTCCTCCTCCTCCTCCTCCTCCTCCTCCTCCCTCCTCCTCTCACACTCCTCACACTCCTCCTCCTCCTCCTCCTCCTCCTCCTCCTCCTCCTCCTCCTCCTCCTCCTGCTCCTCCTGCTCCTCCGCCTCCTCATCCTCATCCTCCTGCTCCTCCGCCTCCTCATCCTCCTCCGCCTCCTCCTCCTCCACCATTCCTTCTCCTTATGAATAACTGCTCTCTGTCGCACCCAGAGGCCAGTTTTTAGGGCGGGCCGGGCGTTTCGCCTGAGAGGTCCTCACCATTTATGACCCTGAATCTTAAACATCGGCAACAGTTTCTCATATCAAAATGCGGTTCTCGCCTTAGCGCCGCGCACAGTCGTTTCAAACATGTGCGAGAGTTTCCCGGATTGAGAGCGGGTCGTAGTCAAAATGTGGCTCTGGCGCCGCGCACATTCGCTTTTTTAGAGAGAAAAAAAAGCAAGTGTTTCACGGATTGAGGGCGGTTCCTTTTCAAAATGTGGCTCTCGCCTTAGCGCCGCGCACAATCTTGTTAAAAACGCAACAGAAGTTTCACAGATTCCCATGATCCGCGTACCAGACATGGTGCTTTGTAAGGATTCACGATTTTGAGGGCGCAACAGTTACGATGATTCGCGGAGTTGAGGTCCCAAGAATGGCGTTCTGGCACGATTCCGGATCGTCAAGACGCAGCAGCCAGGTTCATCCGTGGCGTTGAAATACCGCGAAGAATGCTTTGGCATGCTTCAGGATCTTCAAACGGTTGTCTTCCAACGAGGCAGGTCCCTCTGTGGAAATGAACCGTTGTAGGGGCCTATGGAGAGGAAGCTCGGGGGGAGGGTGTACTCCAACACCGTTGGTGACTCTTGGGTTTACACTGGTCCTCCTCCGCCTCCTCCTCCTCCTCCTCCTCCTCCTCCTCCTCACACTCCTCCTCCTCCTCCTCCTCCTCCCTCCTCCTCCTCCTCCTCCTGCTGCTCCTCCTGCTCCTCCGCCTCTTCCTCCTCCTCCTCCTCCTCCTCCTCCTCCTCCTTCTCGTCCTCCTCCTCCTCCTCCCTCCTCTCCTCCCTCCTCCTCCTCCTCTCTCCTCCTCCTCCTCCTCCTCCTCCTCCTCCTCCGCCTCCTCCTCCGCCTCCGCCTCCGCCTCCTCCTCCTCCTCCCTGAGCCCGAAGTGGTCCTTGTTCAGCGTCTTGGCCGAACTGGACACCCTCCGTCTCCAGGCAATCTTGAAGCGCCCTCCTCCCCGCCCCTCGTGGGAGGGCGGCGCGCCCCCTCGACTGCGGTGGCGCAGGCCAGAGCTCGCCGCAGCGACATCGCACACAGGGTGCCTCGGGGCACGGCTGGGCTTCGCGCAACTTCGGACGATCCTCATCCTGACCATGATTGACCAAAAAATGGCCCCTAACCCTTTGCGAGAGGACCTAAGTCAGGAGGGCCAAAAACATTAGGGATTGAGGCTCTTGTCTGCAGATCGATCAGACCGAACCGCCCAGAACTATGATCCATAATGCAAGGATGGGGCCCTCAGTGAGGCCACGTCTTCATCGCGTTATTAGGGTTAGGGGTTCTTTTGTTCTCGATGATGACCACCACCTCCTCTCGCGGTGAAGTAGCACGACGGGCGGCTTTAGCCAGTCTTCGACCGGGCCCAGGGGCACACAAATAAATACACACAAATCCAAGGATTACCAACGTTTCCTCCGCTTCCCATATGTTTCCATATTTTCCCGGGGATCGGCGATTCATTGTGTCTGTATCTTTGTTTCCCTCCTGGTGGACAGGGGTGCCGAAGGCCCAGACTTAGGTCGGGCCTAGGGGGATTTGGACGAAACATGAAACGTGCCCCAGAAATGCCCCAAAATAGTCACAAACATACCCCAAAAATCGTCCCCAGCATTTCTGGAATATTTTTGGACATTCCTCCTGTAGAGGGACATGCCCGACTTGAGCCCAGACTTAAGTTGGGCCTGTCCTTCTACAGGAGGAATATTCAAGGATAGTCAAAAAGTAGTCTGGGGACGACTTTTTTGAATATTTTTGGGCCATCTTGTTTTTATGACTATTTTGAAATTTCCCTCCAAAATCCTCCTGCAGAGGGACAGGCCCGACTCGAGCCCAGACCCGCGCTCGCGAGCCGCCGCCGTCGCACCGCGCGCGGCGGCCCGGAAGGCCTCGGCAGGCCCTCGCCGAGCAGGTCCCTCCGGAGAGGGGGGCCGCTCTCCGGCGCGTGGCCGAGGGAAGGAACCGAGCTCTATACGCCGACGCTGTGTCTGGCCCCGCACCGGAGCTCGCACGGGAAGGCGGATCCTGGTGTAGACGGGATCCTGGTGTATGCAGTCGTCGTTGCCTCCACGGGAAGACGGGCGAAAAAGTATGCACCACGCCTCCCCGACGTCGCCCCCGACCCTCAAGAATCCCTGGGATCGCCAAACAGCTCGCCACTGGAAACGTATATGCAACAGTTTCCGACGAGGGACGGGCCGGAGCAACGCGGGGGCAGCGGGCTGCGGAGTAGATTTAGGTCGGGCATGGCCTCCCACAGGGGGATCTTGGACGAAAATTGAAAGATAGTCAACGAGTGCCCATAGATTGTCCAGAAATGCTCAACACATCGTCCCCAGCCTATTTTTTTTTCTACTTCTGGACATCCCTCCTGTAGAGGGACAGGCTCGACATAAGGCCAGAGCAGCGCGGCGGCAGCGGGCTGCGGAGCGGAGGGGGCGCCAGGGCACAGGGTAGATTTAGGGCGGGGAGCGGCAGCGCGGGACGGGCCAGACCAGCGGCAGAGAGCGGGAGGCGGGGCGCGGAAGATCAAGGCCTCCTCCGGCGACCAGGAAGACCAGCCACCAGACGGCCGACGGCCGACGACGGACGACGGACGACCGACGATGGCGACTGACGACAGACTGGACGACGACGACGACGACGACGACGACGACGACGACGACGATGACGACGACGACGACGACGACGACGACGACGACGTCGACCGACCACCGACCACCGACCACGGACCACGGACCACCCCGACCACCGACCACCGACCACTGACCACCAACAACCGACGACCAACGACCGACGACTGACGACCGACGAGGACGACGACGAAAACGACGACCGACGACAGACGACGAAAACAACGACGGACGGTAGCCGTCCGACGGCTGACGACGACCGACGACGACGTCGACGACGACGACAACGACGACGACGACGATCTGAATGGGCCGTCGCTTCGCTGGCCAGCCACAAATGGGGCAGCTGTGGTCGCTACGCCAACCCCACCTCCCCGAGGAACACGCCATAGCCGCGATCGGTAGAGACAGGGGCGTCGAATCCGATCGTAGTGGAACGAAGAATGACGTAAACATAAAAACTCGGAGCGGAGCGCGCCAGGGAGGGGGGTCCCCGGCGCGGATCCGGGAAATCCGCGCGGACCTCCGAGTCTTCATGTTTATGTCATTCTTCGCTCCCCCACGATGGGGCCCCTCAGCGGGACACGGCGGGCTCACTTCGCGACGACGCCAGCGCTGGCCTCTGGCACCGGGCGCGTCGCTCGGCCCTGGGCGATCGCGGCCAAGCCCAGGCCACGGGCGGCGCTCCATCTTCAACGCCCCCGGGCCTTGCCGTGCGCCCCCGAGGACCTCCTCCGATGGACCTCCTGCTCCTCCCGCTCTTCCCGCTCGTCCCACACCTCCTGCTCCTCCTGCTCTTCCCGCTCCTCCTGCTCCTCCTGCTCCTCCTGCTCCTCCTGCTCCTCTCGCTCCTCCCGCTCCTCCTGCCCCTCCTGCGCGTCGAAGCCGACGGACCTCCAATCTTCACGGGTCCACGCGACGCCGGCCCACCAAAACAGGGCCTTCCGAGCTGTGGCCGCCCTGGACGACGCCCTCCGCCGGCCGTCGCCACCCTGGCGCGCTGCACACCTACCGCCCAAGTAGGCAGCGCAGGACAGCGGACGACCGACGGCGACGGCCAACGACGGCCGACGGCGGACGACGACGGACGACGACGGACGACGGACGACAGTGACGGCGGATGACGGACGACAGCGACGACAGACGACGGACGACGGCGACGACCGACAGTCGTTCCTCTCGGCAACGATGTGATGGTCACGCAGCGCCGGCTCTTGTTCGAGGCCCTGGTGGCGGGACCTCGAAACAAGACCTGACAAGCCCCGGGGGCCTTCTGCGGGAACCTCAAGGGAAACGACCAGAAGGAGGAGGAGGAGGAGGAAGAGGAGAAGTAGGAGGAGGAGGTCGACCGTGCCCAAAGGGGTTCCACTGTCCGCAGACTCTCGGAGAATCTGCCATCTGCGCAGCAGGTAATGAGTGACAGCTAAGCAATATAGATAAACAACATAATACACTATGGGGTTGATGGAATAAAGCACGAGCCCGAGCGGAAGAGGAGGAGGAGGAGGAGGAGGAGGAAGAGGAAGGAGGAGGAGGAGGAGGAGGCGAAAACGGCGGCGGCGGCGGAGGCGGACGACAACGAGGGCGAACCGTGCGAGGGGAAGGAGGCGGACGACGACGACGACGACGACGACGACGACGACGACGACGACGACGACGACGACGACGACGACGACGACGACGACACCGCTGATCGCGCGGCTGCGGGGGAACGACGAGGAGGAGGCGGAGAGGGCAGGGCCAAAAGCTGGGGGGAAGGTCGGGCGCCGGCCGCCCGACAGGGGCCCGGTGAAGCTAGAGCTGCTCCTTTTATCGCCCGGCGGTGACCCGGGTTGTCCGATGGGGGCGGGGGGGTGCCAGCCGATTGCCTAGCCGCTTCGCTTCGGCCAGCACCACGCACGCCCGCGCGCACCGGTACCGCGCACCCCCTTCGGGCCTGCGCAACCGACAAGGCCAGGTTCTCCCAGGGGAGGGGGGGGGGCGGGCGGACCCGACAACCCCGGGCTATCGCTGGACCCTGGACAAAAGTCCCCGAGGTTGAAGGGGAAAGACGCGACCTGGGGGCGACACGTGGGAGGAAGCACCGGCATGGAGTATGCGATACATCGCCGATGGGTCGGCGATGGGCCGCCGATGGCGAAATCGCAGGTTCCTGGCGGGGTGGGCTATATCCGCCCCGGCCCACAATGAATGGGCGATCGAGGGTCCATGCGTTCCCCCCCGAGCCTACCCCGCCCTCCCCCCTTCACGCTGCCCCTGAACGAAGGAGCAGGGCGAAGCAGGGAAGGCAAAGAGGAGGAGGCCGAGAGGCCCGGCAGCCCGACGTGGCCCCATCGACTGCTCAGCCCCACGATGCTGGCGCTCCTCTTGCCACGAGGGCCGAGGTGAGGCCGCCAGCGTCTTTCGCCCGGGGGCTTCACAGCTCGGGAGGCCGTCCGTCGGCTTGAGGATGCCACCCGAGGACTCGCCCCCATACTTAGCGCGCAACCCGTAGCGCGTCGGCACAGAGCTCAACACGGAGATTCAAAAACGTGCGTTTGGCGCGATACGTTCGCCGAGACGTGGGTCAACACTCTGACCGTGGCAACACGGACGTCTTGAACATGGCACGCGATGCGTTTCAAGACGGGCGTATCAGGGCATCGTTAGCGGAAAGGGAAGCGGGTCCTGAAGAAAACGGGTCTTGACCCTGAAGCCTTCTCGCAGGACCACGTCTACATCCGGAGCCGTTGTCTGGCACTCCCGGGGCCCGTGGAAGGCCCCGAGAGCGCCGAGAGCCCGAAAACGGCGAAAAACCTCAGGACCCGCATCCTGTTAACCCAGGGAAGGAACCGAAGCGCCGAACGGTCCGTCCCAAGGGGATCCGCAGGTAGAGGAAGGATGACAGCGATAGAGGGTTGTATCCCTCGGCGGTAAAGAGAGGTAAGAGCGAGGAAGAGAAGGAATCTACACGCACACACACAGACACACACACACACACACACACACGCACACACACACGCGCACACACACACACACACACGCACACACACACACACACACACGCACACACAAGCACACACACACGCACACACACACACAGAGACGCACACGCACACTTCCCCCACGGCGACAGGTAAGCCCGCGGACTGCCGCCCCAGGCCGGCCCCTGTGGAGGCAGAAGGGCGGGCGGCACGCCGGCGAGCAGGCAGGCAGACCGAGGCGACGCCTCCGCCGCTCCAGCGCGCGCCGACGCGCGCCCCGCGCGTCAGCCTTCGGTCGGGCATGTCCTCCGACAGGCGGGTTGTGGAAGAAGTGGAACAAAAAACTCCCGGCATAACGCAAAAGAAGAATCTAAAAAAGAATCGACAAATCGTCACCCGACTATGCCCTGACTCTTCTCGTATATCCCGCGTGTGGAGGGACAGGCCCGACTTGACGTTAGTCGCGCGCCCGCACTCCCCTGGAAGCGGCGCGGCGGGGCGGCTGGCCGCGCGCCCCACGCGCGGCTGCCCCCTGGGAAGGGGGGGGAGGCCCTGAAGGACAGGCGGCGCGGCGGCGAGGACGACGACGACGACGACGACGACGACGACGGCGACGACGACGACGACGACGACGGCGGAGACGACGGCGGCGGCGGCGACGGCGACGGCGACGGCGGCGGCGACGGCGGCGGCGACGACCGACGGCGACGATGACGGCGGCGGCGACGGCGGTGGCGGGGATGGCGGCGGCGCCACGGCGGCGGTGGCGGCGGCGACCGACGGCGACCGACGGCGACTACGACCGACGACCCTCTGACTGGCGATCGAGCCACGACGACGTCTTCTTTCCCAGGAAGGGTCCAGGGGCAGAAATCAACCGGCGATCGCGCGGGCGCAGGCGGGATCAGCCGGCTCCCTCCCCTCGTGGGTCTCCCCCGCTGCCTCCTGCGCTCGTGATGGTCTCTCGCCGCGCAGTCTCGTGACCTGCCCTCTGGCGCTCTTCTTGCAAGGTGCAGCCCGTGTTCTTCACTGTGGCTCCCCCGTGTCGCCCCCGTTTCCTCCCCCTTGCAGACTCGGGTTGGCGCCCGCCCACTTGGGTTTTCGAGCCCCTCTTGTCTTTGAGTCGCTGACGACGCTGATTCTGCCCTGAACGAACGAACGAAAGAACCACTGAAGGGGCCCTGGGACACACGAAGAAATAGACACAGGTAATTAACAGGATTCCCCACACTGTCCAATGTCTTCTGGGTACTTGTCTTTCCCCGCCACTCCCCATATTTTCCCCTACCTCCCTGGGTAATCGACGATGAATTGTGTTTTTGTCCCCCTCTTGAGCGTCTTTGAAGGGGAACTGGGACACACAAATAAATACACACAAATAAAAGGATTCTCAATATTTTCCCATATTTACTGGGAATCGACAATTAAATGTGTCTGTGTGTTTTTTTCCCGCCTGATCCTCCTGCCCCCGAGCGAGCGAACGAGAGAACCACAGGCGACCCACCACTGCCGCACCGCCGCCCGGGCCCTGCCCACGAGAACTCGTGGACGAGGCCGTGGCCCCCCGAGACATGCACGGCTGGAGCACAGGCGGCCATGCACACGAGCAATAAGACAAGGGAGGGAGGGAGGGAGGGAGGGAGAGAGGTAGGGAGAAGGAGGAGGAGGAGGAGGAGGAGGAGGAGGAGGAGGACGAGGGAGGACGAGGGAGGAGGAGGAGGAGGAGGAGGAGGAGGAGGAGGAGGAGGAGGAGGAGGAGGAGGGAGGAGGAGAAACCATGCATATGGCGATTTTGGAAACCCGGAACCCAAGAACGTTGTCATCTCTTAGGGGCGTGGGTTTTACTTCCGCCGCCTTCCGCCGCCACTCCGCCGGTTTCCGCCAGCCCCGTTGTACTTCCGCCGGCCTTCCGCCGCCCTTCCGCCGCCTTCCGCCGCGGAAGAGATGACAACTCCTTGGATACTCGAAGGCAAGGCCATCTTTGGAACGCCCCATATGAGCAACGAGACAACCATGCATATGAGCAGCGAGACAATAAAAAAGGCTGTGGCAGAGGAGGGCACGAAGGGAAGGAAGCCTGGATCTGGATGTCGGCGTGCCGTCGTCACGTGAGGTGCATGTCCTGCCGCTCGGTTGTCAACCAGATGGAGATGTCTTGAGCCGTGGTTGGCCTTTTTGTGGCGGTCGGACTGGGCGTTGGCGGCAGGTTGGGCCTGCTTTGTGAGAGAAAGGTGACGACATCCTCTTCCCAACGTTTGCGCTGCCGGCGGCACTGTCGCTGCCCACGTTTCGCGAGCGTTCAGCCATCGAGGGTGGGGCAAGCAGAGGGTGAGCCCCCCCAAAAAGATGATTGCACAATCCTGCGGATGGAAGCGATACAGCGGAGCCCACGCAAGCAAAGAAGCAGCGCCCGCGATCTCGAACCGTTGATCTGTCGGTGCTGCGCAGCGCCCGTGCGCGGGGCTTTTTGGCAGCTGCCGCTCGGACGCCCGCGACATCGCCTTTTCTCCCCGACCGGCCATCGCAAGCGCAATCGCGCAAGCAAACTGTGCACTGGAGATTAGAATAATGCTCCAGCCATGGCCGAGACTAGAACAGCAACAGACTGCACAAACATAGTTGACTGGAGGCGGGCTCCTTGGGTCGTGAGGGTCTGCGATGATGGGGCTGGCTCAAAGGGTAAGCATCGACCCGGAATCGGCGGTACACCGCCGATAGATCGGCGACAGGCCCCCGATAGCGACGCACCTTGCTGGACGGGGCTGGCTATCAGGCCCCCAGCGATGAATGGGCGATTGGGGGGTCGACGCATTCCCCTCCATGAGACCATCCCCGCCTCACGCTGTCATAACTGTCGTCGGACGGCATGGGGCTGTGAGGTGCTGGGTAAAAGGGGAGACGTGTCTGCACATAGCGTCGCTGGAGCAAGCTCGTGGGGCACCGAACCAGGGGCTGCGGGAGCGAACGCGAACGAACGAACGAACGAACGAACCACCACATCGGACAGCTGTCCGGGCCTGCTCAGACCAGGTGGGTGAGGCCATGGCCTCCTGTAAACATAGAGACATGCACAGGAACTGCGAGACACACAATACATGATTCGGTGCAACACACAAAAAGTTATGACGGAGGAGGAGAGGAGGAGGAAGTCCTGGTTGTGAATGTCGGCGACGTGCTGATGTATTTGTGTTCGAGTGTCGACCACGTGGTGGTGTCTTGAGCTGAGCGAACCCAAGTGAGGTCGTTCGGCTTGCCCTGCTCGTTGGTTGGCGTGGGCGCTGGGTGCAGGTCGGGTCGGTGTTCTTGAAGGAAGCTGATGAGGTCGTCGTCCCAGCGCTTGCGCTGGCCGCCGTGGTGTCTCCGGCCACGTTGCCGTGAGTTCTCTCCTGGTTGCCAGTGCAGTGCACGCCACGTCCATCTGGTGGGCTCGTGTTTGGCTACCTTGGATGCCATGCGCCACGACCTCTGTCTGTGAATCGTCTCCCAGTTTTCGATGTGGTGGTGTTGCATGAGCTGTTCTGCGCGCCGCGTGGCTCGCTGGATGTAGTCGACCCACGGCTCCATCGCGTCCTCGTCATTGTTGTTGTCGTTGCTCTCGCTGTGTCGGTCGGTCGTGTCTTGTTGGGGCGCGTTGCTCTCTGCGTCGTCGCTGCTGCTGGTTTCTTGGTCAGGTGCTTGAGTGGTCGTGCGGTCGTCCGCGTGTTCTTGGGTGCTACTCGTCGGGGTCGTTTGGCGGGTAGCGCGTCGCCTTGGTGTCCTGATGATCATGCGGAGCATGCGTCGTTGTGTTCGCCGCAGGTGTTGCCGAAGAGGTTCCGTGAGCGTCCATGTCTCTGCTCCGTAGAGTGCTGCGGGTGTTACGGTCCGGCTGAAAAGTCGAAGTCGGTGTGCCAGTGGGTAGTGTTTGCTTGTCAGCTCCTGTTTGTGCGAAGTGAACGTTGCCCATGCTGCCCTCGTACGGTGGTGGATTTCAGTCTCCATCGCGTCGTGAAAGCTGATGAGCTGACCTAAGTACTTGATGCTGCCATCGTGGGGAAGGATGTCGATGTCCATGCCCTGAATGTGTACTGTGCGCGAGCTTGCCCTGCCAGTCCGTCTGGTCTGGTTGCTGAGTATTTTGGTTTTGGAAGGGTGCAACTCAAGTCCGTGAGGTCGCACTGCGCGCACGATGTCGTCGAGCATCGCGGTGAGGCGCGGTAGAGTTTGGCTAGTAAGGAGCACGTCGTCGGCGAAGCGGAGGTTAGTGAGCGTGGAGGTGGTGGTGAATCCTAGCTGCACTCCCTTGCCCTTCTTTTGCCAGTCGGTGATTAATGGTGCAAGACTGTGCTGTAGCAAAGCGTTGAAAAGCAAGGAACTGAGCGGGTCGCCCTGCTTCGTTCCCCGGAGGAGACTGAAGGACTTGCTGCTGACGTCAGTCCTGACCGTGGCCGTCTGCCCCTCGTACAGCTGTTGGAGTAGTGAGATGTATCCTCGTTGGACGCCCTGCGCCTCCAGCGCTGCCCACATGCTATTGTGCTCGACGGTGTCAAAAGCTTTTTTGAAGTCTAGCGCCGCTACCCACAAGTTCTGGTTCCATTCGTGCGCGCGCTCACGGAGAATATGGAAAGCGAATAAGTGGTCGGTGGTTGAGTGTCCTGGCCTGAAGCCGGCCTGGTCTGCAGTTTGTCGGGAGTCAAGTGTTGGTTGGAGTCGGTTGTAGAGAAGTCTGCTGAAAAGCTTGTAAAGCAATGGTATTGTGCATATGGGCCGATAGTTTTGCGGAAGCGTTAGATCCCCACTCTTGGGAATGACCGTGACGACAGTGCTCTTCCAGCTGGTCGGCGGCGGAGCGTCGGACTGGATGATCGCGTTGTAGAGGTGGAGAAGTGCGCCGTGCAATTCTTCCGTGCCGTCCTTCAACATTTCTGCTCGTAGGCCTTTGGTGTCTGGAGCCTTACCAAGCCGGAGCCCTCTAATCGCCTTTTCCAACTCTTCGCCAGTGAAGGGTGGAAGGTCGTCGCTGCGTCGCTCTCGTTGCGTCGGCTTGGCCGTTGTGTCGTATAGCTGCTCGTAAAACTCCGCGAATATGTCTGCAATTTCTTGCCGGGCCGTGCGTTTTGAGCCTCCTTTGTCTGTCATGTGAGTGATGAGATTCCGCTTTCTGCGTGTCTTGATGCGCGGGATACTTTTGAGGTCTCTGAACTGTTCGAGCACGCTTCCTATGTGGGCCCGTCGTGTCCGCCGCTTCTGCGCGCGGATCTCCTGCTGTATCAGTTTGCTCAGTTGTTTGCGGGTGCGGTGGTCGTTGTTTGGTGTCTGGTGTCGCTGTGCGATGAGAGGGCGTAGACGTTCTGCTCCTCTGTCTGGTTGTCGGTCTGGTCGTGGTGCTCCAGCGCTGCTCACGGCGGCGGCGTCGATGAGAACTTGCTGGATGTGCTCGTCCAGGGATTGTGGGTCGATTGGTAGTTCGTCTGGTTTCAGTCGTCGTCTTTGGTGGTCGTGGTAGACGTTCACATTGATGATCTTGCCGGTGGAAGCGTTGGGTGGTGCATGTCTGCGCTGCCGTTGGTCGT